ATCACCAACTTGAGCCTCCAATGAAATGTCATTATCAAGTCTCTTGAAAGCATTAATTAAAGCCTCCTTAACATCAATATCAGCTGATTCTCCAGTATTGAGGTCTATAAGCTCTTGCCAGTAAGTCCTCAAGCTGTTGAAATACAATTTGGATGCCTCCTTACTGAAGTAATCATTGGGGTGCTTATGCCACTGAAGGATAGGCAATAGTGCCCGACCACTCTCCACTGCATTTTCAATCTCTAGCAAAGTCTCATGGGGTAACAAGGAAACAGCAATGTAATAGAAGAGTCTTTCACTGACTGCCTGGGAACAAGCACAGCCTGCATGACCATCAAAAACCCCTAAAAGCATCCCTCTGGTCTGCAAGCAGGTTGCTGCACTTCTCCGGTCCTCAATGGGTGCATTTGCAGGCAGCTGATTGCTGTCAAATCCAAGAATGGAACTGACATTTTTGCCGTCAAATTCTGGTACTTTGAAACTGTATTCATTAGCTTTAAGGATGCTGTTGACTTGTGGAGGTGTGAGGTAAAATTTCTGAGGTGTAGAAGCGTATCTCCTTCCTTGAGTATACTGCCACCAGTTCTCCCTTGGTCTACAAAAGGTAGCATATGCTGGATGGGGTGTGTATCTCAGACGATTCTGAGGAATGTACGGTGGTGAGCAGCAGAGATGTTTGTGGTGGCAGTAACATGCAGTGCCATAGATTCTGCTCAGTTCACAGTTACGGAAGAGAGGAAAAAACAGTTGAGTCGGTGCTGGCATGGCATCAGAGAACAGTGGTAGGCTGGACGTTCTGACTGGGATTCCTAGAGAGCAATTAAGACAGATACACACACAGATAAGTTACACTCCAGATTATTTGACAAGCTTTGCTTTATAGAAAATACTAAGGGAATTTATATGAAAATCCGTATGCTAGGTAATTTCTATAAGGTGTTTTATGGCAATTACAAGCCTTAGCCATTCATGAAGCCAAGACTGAACTATACTTAAATTTCTCTTTCCTTTGTATTTCTGTGTGCAGTACAAACTGCTCAGCACACACACAGATCTGGCTGGAGAAAGCCGAGCAGGAAGTTATGTAACACTGTGCCGCAGCAGTCTACCTGCCCAATCACCCTTCTCCTTCTCTATGCTTTTTCAAAGGCGGCTTTAGAGCTCCCATTTGCACAGTTACTTCTAACACTTATGAAGATCTGTTCCTTGACCTGCGGTCAATCTGTTGGCATTTGACTGCACATGGCTATCACTAAAAGTGTTAATATATCCTTAACAAATGCATATTTATACATTATTGGTAAATGATATAAATATACCACTATACTAATACAATGTTCACTTAACTTACATAAAACATTTCCGACATAAAATTAAAACAGATTCAGTGGACGGTCTTGTAAAGTTTCCTTCTCTGTACTACTGTGCCAACTTAGTGAGCTAAAGAGGTCTGCTCTTCACCAACTGATCCTAGAAATGACAGTTCACCTCTCCGGGGCTCTCCCCATGAAACTTTAAGTGACTACATGGAAGCAGACATGCTAAAACCTCTTTAGGATCCATGCTTTTATGTTTGACGTATTGGGGCTTTGAAATCAAATGCAGGCTTTTTTGATTCATTGCTGAATTTTCCTGTGCCATTTGTGATTAAAAAAATTCAAGTATTCTTAGCTATAATCCTGATCTTGGTAACATAAAGGGATCCCAATTCAGAATTTAATTAACCTGCCACCATTGTTCCTTGCTTAGCGGTCGTAAGAGCAAGCTACAGAAATGTTATTTCATCTATTAGAGATCCCTATTTACTCCTTAAGAAATGTTTTCTCTTTCAGTTAAAAAACATGTATCTACTTGTCATAAGAAAGCAACAAAGAACTATAAATTAAGTCCAAGGTTTGGGTTATAACAGTATAGCATTAGGAGTATTCTGAAGACATTATTTTACAATAGGTATTTATCTAGAAAACTTAAGTGAACAAAAATCACAATTTCAAATAATGTATACCAGAAAAAAAATCTCCAGTAACATATTTTCTCTGAATTCCTAAGATACTGTCTGAAGTATTCACTTAACCTACAAGAAACAGATTTTAGAACTGCTTTAAATAAACAAAGATAAAAAAGAAACAAATTTTATTATCAACTATTTTTTCCAAAAGCTGAATCTACTAAGAAAAAAATGAAGTACTTCCGTGTTAAGTAATTTTCATGTACTTTTTGGTGGGTACTAAGGAAGTAAAAAGTGAAAAGGAGGGAACAGAGAAAACCAAACATTGAAAATTCAGCTTTGTTTCTGCTTTTGTAGAGAGCACCAAACCCAGCTGCTGGACAGGATGTCTTCTGTAAATAGTAAAGTACTCAACTACAAGAAGAGACTTGTTTCTAAACCCAAAGACAAAAGTACACACTAAAGAGAACTATAATTTCATTAGTAAGCCTTCTGAAATGAGAAAAAGAAATCCCTAACAACAAGAATTTACTGGTACTAACCACCTAAATAACAACAGTTCAAACTGAACACCTGAAAGTCATCCAAAGGTTAAGGGTACAGGACTGAGCCAGGGGATGTGTGCAAATGTGGTACCACACCAACAGTGGCTTGTAGATACAAACCATACCTCTTTTTCATGCATGTATGCAAAAAAGCTATTTTATGCTGCAAAAACTATCATTAAAAACTAAAATATAGGTTCAATTTTAATCAAAGTAAATTTTCTCCAGAATCTGTTTGTATTACTTTAAAACTTAAGGTGGTGGTGGTGGGGAGGGGGGCAAAGGCTTAACAGTTTAACATCTACTCAAGGATTAACGCAGCTAGGAAACCTTCCCATTCCTTAAGTTCCTGGGTTTCTGCTTTTAAAGTCAATTAGAAATTAATGAAGCCTGGTAGCCAAAAAGCTCAGGATTCATGCAGCAGGTGCTTTGAACATTTAAATTCAAGCCCTCTGCATTTTTTCTTGACAGCAAAAGTATGAGATTAAAAGTCAAAATAGCAGAGAGTGAGTGATTTGTTTTCAACTGTATCTTTTTAGTTATTCACAGCTTAGCATATGGATTTCATTCCAGCTCCTAATATGCTTTCAAAAGGCAAATTCTTAGGGGAAGTTGAATTCATGAAAGTCTGCCCTTTAATTAATAAACATTCTATCAGGTCAGTACCAATTATATAGCATTTTCATCAGACTAGAAATGGTACAAGTCAATACGCTACTAAATGCTTTGAAAAATTCTTAATAGCCTTTTAAAGCTGCCTGTGATTCAACAGAAAACCTCTGTGAAATCCTGATAAACTTGATAAATTAACAAAATAGAAGCTTCCTCATTAGGCAATAAAAATATCAAGGTAGTTGTTGGTAAACTGGAATAATCTCACATTCTTGTTTTTTTTTAAGGTTCATACACCATCATGGCTCAGACTTGGCAACACTCTGTGCAGCATCTCAGTCCTAGGCAGATTTGGCTGATATTGGCAATGACTAATAAAAGGATGCGCCGTAACCAGAAACAGTGAGCGCTCCATCTATTCTTTCTGATGTGTTCGGCAAAGCGTATGCCAAGAAATTATTCCACTTCATCAATAAACCCACTGGCCAAATCAATTAAGAAATGATACTGGTGCACCTACTCCGGAGCTTCTCGGCCTTGCAAAGCTTCTGATGCAAATGAAAAGAAACACACTAGTCATTACATGTATGAGAACCTCCGTTTATGTAATCTAATTGCATTAAACACCCTGCATAAAGGTTTGTGGTTTTTCAGCATTTTCTGGAAATGCCTAGCCATTTCACATCTCAGTATCTACAAGAATGAAGAAACCCTTATCCTTAAGACACAAGGCACCAAACCATCACTTGTTTGGTCAGTTTCGTTTGTCCCTACCCAAAAATCGTACTTACTAAGAAGATATCAAAGAAATTCTTCTGGTCCAGAGCGCCTTTGTCTCCCTTTTCCTATCGCACCCCTGAATTCCGCGCGGACCCCTAAGAGCCATCCATTCATACACAAAATCAGTCACCATCCTTCCTGGGTACCCATCACAGGTAGTTACGTGGATACCTACCAATTCGTCTGGGCCCGGGACACACACACATTCTCCTGTCATCACAACACGGAGCCGACAACATCCACAAACCGCGCGGACAGCAGCAGCGACAGCAGCAGCGGCCCATTGAAAGCAAGGCAGAGATGCTCATTAGAGGAGGCGGTGGCGGGGAGGCGGGAGCGGAGGAGGGGCGAGGTCTCGCGGCAGCCCAGTGAATGGGCTGGGAGGGAGGAGAGAATGGAGGGGGGAGAAAGGGGAGGGGAGAAGAGGAAACCAAACAAACCCACCCTGCCGGCCAGGCGGCACCACGGCCCCAGGCGGAGGACTCCGGGAGCCCGGACAGGCGCAGCGCGGCCGCTCCATGCAGCCGGCGCGCCGAGCCCACGGGCGCGCAGCATCCTCAGGCCCGCCCGGTCCCACGCGGCGCCCGCTTCCGCAGCCCGCGAGGCGCAGCCCGCCGCGGGCAGCCGGCGCGGCCACGCGGGGCCGCGCGTGTCAGCGGCCGGCCCGGGCGGACACGCCCCGGCCACAGCGGACGTCCCACGCGCTGACAGCCCGGTGCCGCCCGGGGCCCGCGGCGGCTCGTCCCGACCGAGGCCCCGCGCGCACCCGGCCGGCCCTCCACCCGCGGTCGCTGCCCACGCGCGCCCTCCACCTCACCGCCCCGACGCCCCCTCCCGACCCGGCAGCGGTGGACGAGGATACGAACCGGGCCCCGGAGAGCACCCGCCGCCGTCTGCCCCGGGTGGCGGCCGCACCCCTCCGTGCGCTTCCTCCCCTCAGCACCGCGCAGCTCCCCGGAGCGCGGCAGCTCGGCCCAGGCCGGCCCACTCCGCGCCCCTGCCTCGCCCGGCCGCCACCCTGCCCCGCCCCCGCGTGCGCTCGTGCGCTTCCCGCCTTCCGATTGGCTGTGCGAGGGCGATTGGGCGGGACCCGGCGGAGCTAGGCCGGGGCCAGAGGGGCGGGGGCGGAAGAGGGCGCGCTCCCCGCCAGTTTTGTGACGTCACGGGGGTCAGACAATCCCTTCCATTTGGCACGGCCTGCCTATTGGCTCCACGCGTGCGCGCGCCCACGTGGCCACGCCCTGTTGCTGGTGAAGGTGGGTCTGCGCGCGCCGCCGCCCCGATGATGGACAGCTTTGAGGGGGTGGGCCTGGGGCCCATAGATGAGGAAGCACCTGGGCAGGCTCCAGCATCCCCCTGCGCGGCTCCTCGGGAGCCGCTTGCTCCCCCGCGGGCGGGCTTCCGCGAATGCCTGGCACCTCTGCGGGGCCCGCGGGACGCGCTAGACTGGCCTGAGGACCAGGCCTCTGCCGCACCGGGCGGCCACGGGTAGACCGCGGGAGCGACTCACCCCAGTGGGAACCTCAACTCCCCGGCCTGTTAAGTGAGGCGTGGCGGAGAATCTCGGATGTGTATTGCTTCATTCATTCAAGACCAAGCTGCTGATTTTAGGAGGATTAAGTCGGATGGTGTTTTCTATTATTTTTCTCAATGCCCTTGAAGTCCCAGGGCTTAGGCCAAAGGGAAGTTTGATGAAGGAATTCTTGCCTTTGTAGAGTAGGTGTGTGCTCTTGTTCTCTGAAGGACTTTGAAATCAGCATACCCTCCTTGGTCCTGACTCATTCAGAGTCATGAATAAACAAATGCAGCCAGTAGAAGTGGGAAGAACCTTTCAAGTCATTCCCAGTGACAAAATCCATCTCCCTCCCATGAGACTCAGTTTGCTCATCTGTGAGGTGAGGTTAGGTTAGGACTTCATTACCACTGTATGTGCTAAACAAGACACTAAAGGGTTGTCTTTACCGCTATCTACGAATGTCTCTTTATGGGATGATGGCTTCTTGTCTACATCCACATAGATGCCATATTCATGACATAGAAGTTCTTGGGAGATGTCAGGTAAACTACTGTACTTCTGCTCAATGTTAATGAGTTGACTTTGATTTATTGCATACATTAACATAAGGTAGCAAAGTGATGTGGACTAGATACAAGAACTGCCAGGTTTACTGTGCTTTGTTAATCTGAATTATTTAAATTTTTATGTAGTAAAGGAAAAGCTTTATATAAGCAAACATGTAATTCATAATTCCTGAATCTTTGCCCATCCCCAGGGGAGGCTTATGGACAAAGAAGATGAAGGTGGATTAGAATAGAACAGATACCACAGGTAACTCTCCCAACCAAGAACAAGGTAAGGTGCCCTTAGTCCCCTGCCGTTCTCTTTTAGAGCAAGGAGATATATTTCTCCTCCGCTAAAAACAATCACACTCTGGCAGTTTCTACTTAAATATATTCTCAGCATATCTTGATCCAAGGGCTCAGTGTGGCCTGAATTTGTTCTGGGTGCATGCACAGGAAGGCAAAACTGTCCTCAAGTATAAGTTTAAGGGAGAATTCCTTATTTCCCATCTTATAACTATGCATAATTGGATGTGCATCTAATTAAAATCAGATGCATTGTGGGAAGAAACATGCACAGTTGAAAAAATGAATACAGGACCTAATCTACCAAGCAAAATATGACTCATATTACAACTTCTATCAACCAAACAGCTGTTACTAAACTACATAAAAGTAAACCCCAAACAATAATTTCAGGCCTTCAGTGTTCTCATGTAGCCTACTGCCCATCTTGAGTTTATCTTTCTCTAATCTGTATTATTGCTTCACTTTGAATAAAATTATCTTGCTATTTTTCAAATCTGTGTGAGCCCTTATTTCCAGCTCTTTGGATAAGAGGCCAAGAACCTTGAAACAACTGATTGCTGCCACCAATAAGGATTGTAAATAATGAGATTCCAGAATTTATACCTCCATTGAAAAAGACCTTGAAAGTTGTTGCATTGACTAATTTTCTCATAACAAAATGGTGTCAGTGTCGCATAAAATTTCTTTTTCAAAACTGATTTTCATATCTGCATGGGAAATTCTAACTTGTTTTACTATATCCAACATTTTAGTTTTATACCAGGATGATATTGATTTTTCCATCTTATTCTTCAGAATTCTGAATGACCTGGCTATATTTGAAAATAATGCTGATTCTCAAAAATAAAAAAAAGTTATTTGCCACCACTAAATATAGTCAAAAGAATTTGTCATCAAGATTGAGTGCCAAGATATTTCTGGAATTGGAATAAAGCCTCCGCAGAGTGATGACTTTGAAATAATCTCAGAGGTGTAAGTTCTATTCTCTAGTTACATGATTGAGTGACATGCACATTGTAACACACCAGTCTACAGCAATTACAACGCCTGTGTACTGGGTGAGGTTCTCTGCCTTGATTCTCCTCTGTCATGCTCTTAACTCTCTTTCTGGTTGGAGGCTGCCCAATTGGGCTTCCTTCAGTAGTGCTATGTGTTATTATGTGACCAGGGCTAGGACAAATCTTTGGATTTTGCACTGTGACTTGCTGAGCCACCAGAACACCTGTTAGTATATCAACATTGAAAGGTGTTGAAAAGTAACACTAAAACAACCTCGGATTGTTGTAGAGAAGGAACAGGCAAAGAGAAAGCAGGATCTTTGAAAAAAAGAACTATGGCACAAAGAAAGCACTATGCAAACAAACTAACAAAATGTCTATCCTACACAAATGCCTTTGAGATACCAACACAGAGAGAAGTGACTAGTAACATTTAAGTTGTTTTCTTGGCACACAGCAGATGATCCAGTAGCCTCAAAGGTTCTAGCCAGGAAGCTTAAAATAGACTTGCATAGGGGTGTGAGATGCTGTCAGCCTGATGGTTGCTGACTGTCTGGCCTTTGCTAAAATCAATTAGAAAGAAGAAAGGCTGGTTCTTCACACTTCTGACTCTCTACAGGTCTTCTGGGAACTGAGCAAGTAATTAGTAACTACATAATCAATACTTGCTTTCTTACTCAGTGTTAAATTGATTCTTGAAATTAATGGTACTTGGAGTCTGTCTTAGTCACTGTTCTGTTGTTCTGAAGAGACACCATGACTAAGGCGGCTTAGTGCTGTGGGATGTTGTTCTGTATGCTCTGAATGTGTGTTGCTCTGATTGGTTGATATATAAAACGCTGATTGGCCAAGAACTGTGGATATGGATCGCTTTGTATGCTATGAATGTGTTGCTCTGATTTGGTTGATAAATAAAATGCTGATTGGCCAGTAGCCAGGCAAGAAGTATAGTATAGGCAGGACAAGCAGAGAGGAAAATTCGGGGAACAGGAAGGCTGTGTCAGGAGATGCTGCCAGCTGCTGCCACCATGAGAAGTAAGATGTAAAGTACCAGTAAGCCACAAGCCACTTGACACCTTACAGATTAATAGAAATGGGTTAATTTAAGATATAAGAACTAGATAGTAAGAAGCCTGCTATGGCCATACAGTTTATAAGTAATATAAGTCTCTGTGTGTTTACTTGGATCTTAGTGGCTGCGGGCCCCGGCAGGACTGGAGAAAACTCCAGCTACAGCTAGTAGCCAGGTGGGATGAGCAGACAAGGAGAATTCTGGGAAGAGAAAGGCTGAGTGAGGAGTTGCTAGCCAGACACAGAGGAAGCAAGATAACAAGGCAGAACAGAGAAAAGGTACCAAGCCATGTGGCTAAACATAGATAAGAATTATGGGTTTATTTAAGTGTAAGAGCTAGTTAGTAATAAGCCTGAGCAAATGGCCAAACAGTTATAATTAATATTAAGCCTCTATGTGATTATTTTATAAAAGGCTGCGGGACTGTGGGTGAGAGATTTGTCCTGACCGCAGGCCAGGTGGGACACAGGAAATCTCCCAACTACAGCTTATATAAAAGAAAGCATTTAATTAGGGGCTGGCTTACAGTTTCAGAGAGGAGCATCATAGCACACAGGCAGACATGGTGCTGGAGAAGAAACTGAGAACTACATCCTGATCCCCAGGCAGCAGAAACAGAGAGAGACACTCGACCTGGCCTGCATTTTTAAAACCTCAAAGCCCACCCCCAGGAACACACCTCCTCCAACAAGGACATACCTTCTAATCCTTCCAAGCAATTCACCAACTGTAGACTAAGCATGTAAATATATGAGCTATAGGGGTCATTCTCATTCAAACCATCACATTCCACTCCCACAGGCTTGTAGCCATATAAAATGCATTTAATCCAACTTCAAAAAATCCCCATAGTCTTTCAATATCAACACTATTTAAGTCCATAGTTATTCTGAGACTTTGTTAAGGTTCAAACTCAGGACAAACTGAGGTGCCTACTTAACATAGCAAAGTGGACCTGGCCTCCAGGTCCTCCTAGCATCCCTCAGTTCCCACCTGTTACAGGGTATGGCTGGCATACCTTGTCCTCTGCTCTGAACTCTCCAGCCCAGAGGCTCGGTTGCCGCCCTCCCAGGATCTTCCCTATATAATCTAGACATTTTGGTTACCTGCCCCTTTTGTTCCTTTGGTCTCTTGGCTCCTGCATCTCATTCCTCTCCCTCCCCTCTCTCTTCCCTGTTATTATTTGTTTTTGTTCTTTTTTGGGGGGTACCACCAAGCTCCCAAATAAATCACACATGGAGGCTTATACTTATCTTGGCTTGTTTCTTGCCAGCTTTTTTTAACTTTAAATTATCCTGACTATGTTTTGCCTCTGAGCTTTTTCTGTTCTCTTCTGTGGCATGTTGGGTGTCTGGGTGGCTGGCCCCTAGAGTCCTCCTCCTTCTCTGTCTGCTGCCTCTCTCTCCTCCCAGATTTCACCTATATATTCTCTTGCCTGCCAGCCCTGCCTGTCCTTTCTCCTGCCTCACTATTGGCCGCTCAGCTCTTTATTAGACCATCAGGTGTGTTAGACAGGCACAGTGTCACAGCTTCACAGAGTTAAACAAGTGCAACATAAACAAAGTAACACACCTTAGAATAATATTCCCCAACACTTCCCCTCTCCACCACCCACATGGCCCAGCTCAGTATGGCATGTCCACTCTGGACTCTCCCAGATGTCCCTGCCTCTGTCTATGCTCTCCCTTTTATCTATATAAACTTTCTCCTCCACCGTACCTAGGTGCAGTCATGTCCTTTCCTTATTTCTTTTTTTCATTCAAGACTCAAGGCAATCTATTAACTGTAACCCCGTATAAAATCAAAATTAAAAAAGCAGATCACATACTTCTAACATACAGTGGCACCAAATATGGATTACCATTCCAAAAGGAGGAAAAGGAGCATAATGAAGAAATACTAGACCAAAGCAAGACTGAAATCTAGATGGGCAGACTCCAAACTCTGCATATCCATGTCTGATGTCAAAGACTCTTCAGATCTCCAATTCCTTTCAGCTTTGTTGACTAAAATATACTTCTCTCTTTGGGAATGGTTCCACTCCCTGTTAGCAGCTTTTCTTGGCAGGTATCCCATAACTCTGTCATCTCCAAAATCTTAGGGTCTCCAACACAGTCTAGGCTTCACCTTCATAGCATGGCCTCTCTGGACCACCATGTAGGTACTGCCTTGCCAAATGCTTGGCCTCAGTTGATTTCCTTATCCTTGGACAAGATTCCTCAGCCCCTTTCTTCCTGTATCCTTGACTCTTAAGCCAGAACCACCTGGCTGGAATACCAAGTTCTGCTTGCTGAGTTAGAACCAGGGACCCTCATTTTATTACATTGCATAAACTTTCAGTTGTTAGCTTCCTTTGAGACTTAAGCTTTTCTTTAATGCCTTTTCATAAGTTGGAAGCTTAGCTGGGTGCGGTCTTGCCCTGAGGTCACTACTTTCTTTGTTCCATTAGCATCAGGCTTTTCTTTAAACTTCTTCGCTCCTGGAACATAGGACTTGAGTCAACATCACCTTTCCTGGTGTTCTTTTTCTCCTTGCCCCACTTGCTCCTTTTCACTGTAGATCTGTACAAGAGTGATCACTAATAACCATGGGACATAGTCAATACTAGACTGACTTGAAATCTCCTCTGCCAACAGTGTTCATCTAAAACTCTTCAATTCGGCCTCTGGTAGATATTTTTGGACAAGGAAAAAAGCAGCCATATTCTTTATAGAAATATCACAAGAATGGTTGCTAGTCACTTAACTAATATCCTTCCCTTAAAAACCTCTTGAGCTGGGTCCACATTGCTCTCAGCACTACTTCTAAGCTCCTACTAGGATAGCCCAGTAAGCCCTGCTTAAAGTGTTTGTCTTAGAGTTTCTGTTGCTGTGAAGAGACACCATGACCATAGCAACTCTTATAAAGGAAAAC